ACGAGAGTTGATTATCAAATCAAGAGGATGCATGCATGCTAAGCTTGAGCTACCTAAAGATAAAAGGGGTTAATCAACTAGCACTCCCTGCACTGCTCATAAGCTGTGTCTTTTGGCTGAATGGGACATAACTAAATTCCTATGTTCACCACAATGTATGCACCTACTAGCACTCGTTCCTAGCAGAGTTTTGGTGGGGAAAAGTGCATTAAGCACACCTGAAATTTGCACCAGTTCTTTCAGGAGTTAGAGAATGGTGAATGGACTGGTTCTTATATAAGGCCTTTCTGCTCTACCTGAAAGCACACGCCCATTCATACAAGCACTTTGTGATACAGTTAAGTGCTTTCTATTTAACATTCATGCTAATGGTGGTGTCAGAGACCATGGCATGCAGACTGGACTGAACCACCAACCTTTTGATCAGCTGATAACCTGCTCTACCTCCTGAGCCGCAACTGTTCCTGTACAGAAGAACTGCAAGAAATGGGCAAAGAATATAGGTAAGGACAGTGGCCAAAGTTTGTTTTAAGTCGACACTCTTCAGTAGTTTTTAAATGGGTTAGCTGTGAGATGCTCCAATAGTTTAGGCTCATGTTCTTTCCTTACAAAGTCAGCAGTAAAGGTTCTGACCATGATGGAATATTCCAATACACTATAGAAGGCTTTGCCTAAAGAAATGAGCTGCTTAGCTTGCTTTGAGTGGGATGGTCAGACACTTTCACCCCTAGAAAAGCAGTAAAAGATGATAAGTGTCCTCGGCTGTTGCCCAGGAAAAGGTTTTGCTCCAACAAGAATTAAGGTAAAATGTTTTGGCTTGGTCTGAAGCATTATAGTCACTGATCAAGCAGTAGGGAATGCTGAGTGGTAAGTTTCTGGATCATAGGAATTGCATGTGGAGATAGCAGAGGAGCAGGCACTGACTGAGTGAGGAAACATGCTTAGTTTGGGTACGGACCCTCTGCGCTGTGACTCTCTGAATCCTTGCAATTAGAGTCTTTTCAAAACACAATAATACTTGGGGGAAAAAATTAAATATTTGAAAGACACAGCTGATATTTTCGCCCTCATTGGGGTATTAAATGAACCAACAAAGACTGCTGGTGAGTGTGTAATCAGTGAAAGGCCTGTTCTAAAGTACACTGTACTTCAAACTTTGAAGCACATTTAACTTGTCTCTGAAGTGCTGATATGAATGATTGTGTTCTGTACGCGCAATCTTGTCTGTGTGATTGCATTTGAGTAAGACTGTAAGATCCTGCTATATTCTATAGTCTTCCAGCCTTGTTAATCAGTCATGCTTTAAAAAGCCTTTCATAATCTCAGCGAGAGTTAAATATTTGAGCAGAAGTTTTACTTTGTTCTTTTAGATTAACCTTATTGAGCAGAGAGGCTCATGAATGGATCGGCACCTATGGATCTTACTGGGGGTTTTTTCCCTGCAGGTAAATTTCCTGCACATTCTGCAGTAATCCTCACAAAGGAAAATTAGGCCCTTGAGTGAACCTCGTCTTGTAGGCTTAGTAATAAAAGTAAGAGGTTAATGCAGAAATGTAACACCACAGTTTTAACTCAGGATTTAAACGGGGTTACTAAGGAGGGAATTTATTAATTCATTTGATATTTTTGGGATTTTTTTAGAGTTCGAGAGCGAAGAACACTTGGGTACATGAGGACAGGATTTTTGAGATTCCTGTCATTATATATTATTCTGTGTTTGCAAACACCTAAACATTTGTATTAATAAGAATGTAGTAAGTTCTTCACTGCAAATAATATAATGTATACTAACCAAGGTCTGCTTTCCATGTGTGAATTCAATGCACATTTTTCATTTATTACTAATTATTTTTTCTTGTCTTTGTTTTTCCACAAGTGAGGCCAGTGTTCTTTTCTCCACTACCCCCCACCCCACACACACCCCACACACAAACACACACATGAATCTACAACTGACCTCTGAACTTCATGGTTAAGGTCATGGTTAAGGAAAGTGCCCACCTACACCCTCTAGTGGTTGCATCTTTACAGACTTTTTGCAAAAAATATGGGAAATTGTAGAACCTATAGGTTTACTCAAATTATTTAATTAATTAATTTATTTTTTCTCTTGGTCTACTGATGCAACTAGATTGTGGCTCTCCATCTGAGCTTTATAAACAATCTTTATTTCTCTTCCACCTTTAATTGGAGATCCAGATTATATACATATAAACAAAGGTTTATGCTATATTAGCCTTCATCTATTACCAAACACAGCAACAGGAGCACCCTTTAAAACAGATGTTTCCCTGGAGACTAACAACTTGTGCTCATAAACGTACGCAACCATCGGGTGTCAGTGTTGTACAATAAAAAAAATCTCGGTAGTCCCTTAAACTCTTGTCTCTTTAACAATTAAAACAAGAAAAGGACACCTAAATAACAATTGCACAATCAATGTGTTACATAAATGACATTTTAAATAATCAGTCAGGTAAATTATGTTTCCTGAAGTTGTGCGATTTATGTTAAATGCAGGCTGGGTGCTATATATGCATTAAATTTAAAACAAAACTAAAAAAAAGCAAAAAAGTAAAGGATTTCAAATTCTGAGTTAAAAACTGAACCATTCAGCCAACAAACTTTTAAACATGGCTAACAAAGAGATGAATCATAGACTGATTTTGAATAGAATAGAGCTGCATATTGCAGTTTTGGATCGAAAGGTTTGATTATCTGTGTTCCAGACTCATTAGTTCAGTTTGCAGAAGACCTTAATTCACATGTTACTGGAAGAGAATCACACTGTGTCATGGAGCGCACTCATGAGATTACTGTAATCCCATTTAATGTACTACATTACTTCCTAAAACTGCCGAGTGAACAAAACAAAACCGTGGTGAGTGAAAGCGAGAGGACACGGCCTTGAAGAGGTGAGAACAAAAAAGGGGAACCATATGTGGGAGGAATGTGAGCGCCATCACAATGTTAAAAGTATTGAACCTCTAATGCAGAAGAACCAAAGACCATTTGTTCTTCTGTTCTCCCTTTATGACCACCCGTTTTTGACAGAGATGCTGAAATAGGCCAAAGATGCAAACTGATGAATCAGCCCCCCTAGAGATATGCAATTATAATCTGGCCTCCATATTCAAGCAGATTCTTTCACTTTCTCCTTGAGGCTGACATCTGACACGGCCGTGATAGCACACATACCTTTCAGTTGCCCTGCATGCTGTATGCTGATATTTGACACCTGGACAAACTTACACATACTTAATGGGTGGATTAGTTCCAAACGTTGCGTGAGTAAAATGTTTAGAAGATAAATTATAAACTTAATGAGCAAATCCGTCAGATCAGAGGCTCCTAATAGCAAAAATGTACACCAGTTCCAGAAAGCCATTAGTCAGGCTCTAATTGGATGTAAACAGCAATTGATATCTGCTGATATTATGCTTTTTTTTCCCTTTTCCTTATTATAACTTCAAGTTTAGGCAACCGAGAATGCCAGTGACTCACAGCTCAAAGATGACACATCTCTCCTCTTCATAACCACATGGACTGTTTCACAACACGGCTATTTTCATAAAGCTTTCATTTCCAGGCGGGGATGGATGAATGGTGAGCTTTTTCAGGAGATGCAGATGGGCGCTACCGCCTGCTGAGGTGGAAGGAAAACTCGACAGACAAGCGTTGACGATATTGTTCTACTTTCACTGAAGGCACGTATCTGTGAGGTCAAATGTTTCACGAGTGTCTGTGATACCACTGCAGCTCTGGAGTGAATCTGCTACTTCATATGGGTAATATAGGGACTAAACAACTAAGGAGGCATATATGTTGTAAAGCAGTCCCACCGCCTGCCTTGTGCCTTCAGTCTTACTCCAACACATTCAGCATGAATCCAGCACTTATTTTTGACACTAAGGTCCGCCAGCAGTGTCCTGTTTCGTGTTTGATGTAAATTAATGCGTGCCCCTTGGTCATCCTCAACAGACTCCTTTCATGACCACACCTTAAAAATACCGCCTTAAAAACCAACCTATTAGACTGATTTATGTAGAAGAATTACATGAAAATGTAAAATTGCTGATCATTGGCAAACTGATGTGCCTTAAAGTGAGTTTTTCATCACTTTAGCTCACCAGCAAGGGTCAGCAGGGCACGCTGCAAAAATAAATAAATAAATAAATAAATAAAAACACAGGTGATGTAAAGAACCAGAACCACTATGTGCTGAATGCATGATACACCAGCCATTTCACTTTGGCATTACTCTGCCACTGTCTCAATGTGAAGCTGATTTCTAACGGATCTGGAGCACTGTGAAGGAGTTAGAGCTGCATGCTCTTCTTCTTTTCATGTTTCTAATTTAATGGCCATGCCTGCAAGATTTACACAAACACTGAGGGTTCCCAGTGCAAACTGTTAGCACATTTAAAAAAATAAATAAATAAAAAACGAGTCTACATTGGTTAAAGCTTTGACTGCTTTGGTGCTTTTAGCTGAATGTCTATACAAACACTTTTACAGTCACACACTTGCCACATTACATAGCAGCAGGGGGGCACTTCTCAAAATAAAATGTGACCCAACACATTTACCAGAAGGGTCTGTGAGGTAATAAAACGTCTCCTTTTTTGGAGGGTGGGGTGATAAGCTCCTGAACCCCAGAACTACACCCCACAGCTGGGCTGCTCTGCAGAGTTTCAGTCGCACGGTGTGAGGAGGAGGGGTGGGTGAATCTGCAGGACTCTGCTCACCACGCCTCGGTACGGTGAGTTTGTCAGCCATATTGACTACCTCTTCTCCGGTCGTGGGAGACTGGCGGAGGAGTCTCCCTCCAATGAAGCCTGTATCACTATAGCTACACTCTCAGTGCGCACCGTGTCCGGGAACGTGAAACGGTCTATTTTTAATCGCTGTGGATATATAAAGTACTGCTGCCTGCTGGAGGGGGTGACAGTTGGGACACATCCTCGAGCGCAGCTAGGCGTTAGAGGTGAGTTTGACCGTCTTCATCTCTGCCTGTCGTCCTTCTTTTCCTTTAAGCCGTCCAAATGAGAAGGGATTTATTTTCTTCTCTGGGCTGCAGAGCGGCAGCTGTGTCTTTATTTGAACACTCTGGGCCGCTGACGAGCGGCACAACTTATTTTCTAGCGCACTTTGACTGGCAGGTTAAAGGCGGCGTGCCCCCGGTTTGGCTTCACCTCAGTTTCTAACCGGCTTCGTGCACGTTTTAGGACGGGAGGACGGGTGAGTAAGCCCGTGTCGTTTTCTTCTGAAGGGCTGAGTGTCAGTCGGTGTTAGGCAACAGAAGAGGGTAGTCATGGCAATTAGTTGTCATGTCTACTTCGAGATTCAAGCGGAATATATATGTGAGCTTTCACGAGCTCCTCTGAGCGCTTCGATAATGATTTCAACAGCTACCCGGGAGAGCTTGAACGTGCCCGCCTTTGCTGTTGAAATTCAGGCGAGGTCCTGTTCATGTGCTGGAAGGGACTGATGCTCTGGTGGGGAAGAGAAAAAAAAAAAAAAGCTCGCAGCGGAAACAATGTTTCGTGCGCCGTTTGCAACTTTTGTGGTGCTGACAACGCGCCTTTCTTTCTGTAACAATGTCGAAAACAGCCGCTGCTGAAACACGATTAGCACATCGTTCACACTGAACTGTTAGCAGGTGCAGATACGGCATTCGGGGACTCGTGTGTTGCGGTCACCGCACTTTAAGATACTTGCGGTCGATTTAAATTCCGCTTTTTTTTTTTAGCGCTGCCTCCAAGATTATACAGGCGATACTGTAACGTAAAAACAAATAACAACTTCGATTTAAGTCTGACTTCTTTTGTTTATCAGCAAGATGAGGATATGTTAACGTTGGCAACCTTGGCCTTAGTTTATCATTTTCAAGTTTAGGCGCTAAGCTTGAAGCACGCGGACCAGTATGGCTTTTGCACATAAATAACGGTTTTCAATTCAGTCACAGTAGCGCGCGCACACACACACACATGCAGGACGCTAGCGGTCCATCTGGCACAAACAGATGCTCTGTCGGCGTCAGGCAAATTACGAGCTGCTGATAGGCACAGCGAGTGAATTTATTGGCCATTATTCCCATCGCTCAAATTCTCCTGTTGCTCTCGAGCCCGCCCACTCGTGGGACCGAATTACAACTCATTTGAGAAGGAGGCTCTCCGCACCATGACATCAGATACCCTTGACTGCTGGTTTTAGATTTCTCTCGGCTGCGCTATTTTTTATTTTTTTTTTGTAACCTGTTGAATAATCCCACGGCACAAGGCCACAAAAAGAGAATGCTAATGCTTGTCCTGAACACACGTCCATATAGCTGTTAATTCCTGAGAAATGTTGCTGTAAGACCACTTAAATACAGAAGAAGAAAGCTTTACAGCAGAAGTTATTAATGAAGGCTTGAAAGTACATGCTTACTCATTGGCTAATTAAAGAGATTTGTCATTAAGATTAAACTTCGTATTTGTAAATAAACCCTCACTGTATCAAAAATGGTAACCGTGAGATAAATGTAAAGACACTAAAATAGCAATAACAGCAGTATCCCTCCGCTATTTTAAGAAAGAGAATAGGCCCTGGTTTTCTTTATTCTTAAAAAATGTAAACCAACTTGCACCAACCAAAAGAATGTTCATAATAAGACAATTTGCCAGCTGGAAGAATTTAGACAGAGTATTCACACACCAGCTGTCAATGTGAAACTCCTCTACTATGTTATGGCTATGGCTGTGTTCGTACTGAGTGCAGTTTCCCCTTATCAGCCTTGTTAATGAAAATTTAGACTTTTATGGTGTTTTGTTGCTATTTCCATTCTATCGTAGTCTATGTAAGCACTTTAAAAGTTTAGAGACAGTATTTACATTGTTTGTTTACATTTCTTCTGTTAATTATAGATGCCTGTCAAGTCTAGTTACATCTAAAACAAAGGAGAAATGTGCCAGAAACATCTATTATTGTCATTCGGTGCATTGTGAAGGTGCATTCATGCATGGGTAACAAGTTTAAATGGTCAGAGTTGAACCAGGAACATGCTTTGCATTGCAGCTGGAATTTAAGTTTAACACTAAGCAACAAAAGTAATGGTGAATCTTTAACTGTTCAAGTGGAAAAGAGATCAAAAATATAAAACACAGTGAGTTATTACTGTTGTTCTACTTTTTTCACAAACATAAGGCTGACAGCTTGCAACATCTTAAGTAATATGCCAGAAATATGCCTTTCTGTCTCATGTATGTTGGTGTAATTTGTCACATCAGTTGTTACGTTGGAGCATATGTAGTAGTATCAGCTGGGAACAGGGAGCCAATACTTTAGCTCCAGAGGCCTGTCGCAGACTGATGCTATCTAGTTTCTCTCATTTCTCCCTTATTTATTGTGCCTCAATATCATGTCCTCTCTTTCACTTTCTTTGCCTTTATCTGCTCTGTTTCCTGCACACTTTAAAGCTGGTTTAAGTAACTCAGTGCGTGAAGAATTCTGACACAGAGGTTACGGTTTTGGAGGGACAACAAATGCAAACGTCCTTCATGCACCTCTGTAAATAAAACGAGCTGGTTTCAAATTCAGCCATAGTCATTACACATGCATCTGGAGCTAGTCTTTGTTTTTGGCTGATTAGCGTGGTCTTCTGCGGTTGGCTGTCGAGATTCAGCATTATACTCCATACCGTCCCCCAATCCTACCCATTCTCTGCCTCCCATTTCCTCCAACTGAGAGGGGGGAAAAAAAGTCAGCATGTAAGTTTGGAGCGCTTGGAGGTGATTCCAAAAAAGCTGCTGTTTGTGCCATAAATTTTATTATATTTTAGAAACTCGTGAAAATTCACACCTTTTCAGTGGCTTGAAAGGAGTTTGTGTTAGCTCAGTTAGTTTCAGAGGTCACACCTGGGACAAGCCATTTGCGTTTTATCACAAAGTCTCCCCTCCTGACATTCACAGAGGGGTCAATTGGCTCTTTGGTGGTTTAAGTAAAGCTTTGTTTTCTAAGCAGTTGGTGCCGATTCCTGCTGTTGTAACAGCTGCTCAAAGTTATGAGTGTGTCAGCCCTGGCACTTAACAGCAGGACATTTTGTGGCTTCTGCAAACACACATGTAATGACAGAGATTTACCGTTGCAAGTATTTCACAGCAACAGTCGCCCTTTGTTTTTTTTTTTTTGTTTAAGCTATCACTATGTAAATTAACAGAATAAAGGAAACCGGTGATGTTGTCAAGAACTGTTGAAAATAACTGAACGAGATCCAGCTCCACATTTCTGAATGGGGTTTCATTACCTCCCCCCACCACCACTTATTTTATTTTATTGCCATTTTTAAATGGCAGAGAAAGTCAGAACAGTATTTCCCAATATGAATCACAGCCCAACTTAACATGATTAAATGGCAAAGGAGGGACAAGTAACAGAGGTCTGTAAAGGCGACTGGAAAATCTATAAAAGTCTGTAAATTTTTTTTGATATTAAGTTAGGGCTGTGCGATCTGACCAAAATCTCATATCCCGATATAAGAATTCTATCGTCCGATAACGATATAAATCACAAAAATGTAACATTTTCTGTAAATTCTGTGAATCTCGGGCAGCTCGACTTGCGTGAAGTGTTTCCAGCTGGAGTCGAGTGTTTTAACCGATGCATGAAACTATACATTTTTAGACATAAGTTGTAACGGCCGCCGTTTTCTTTGTGAGTATTTATTACACGGCGTGCTGCGGGGAAAAGCCTGTTCTAACGTTTGAGTCTAAGGTTTATTTTTTAGCACCTGGCGGCTCTTTTTTACTTCTCATCCGTAAATAATCTGCTCTTTCACGTGATTCAGTTTATTTTGAAAAGTCTCAACAGGATCTTGAGCTTTATTGTGAAAGGTTTATGTGGAACATAAACAAGCGGACACGCGATGCTGTTACCGTCGTTGTTGCTAACACAACGCATAAAAACAGGCGCTTGTCCGTCCGTAGTGTGGTTATATTAAATATAAGAGAAAGAGAGAACTTTAAGAAATTAATATAGCCACTACAGTGACCATCAAAACGATGAAAAAATATTGCCGTAAACAGTTTATTTTGCGACACCACGAAACAAACGATAGCGTAAAATGAAACGATAGACGTTTTTATATCGTCATCCGATATATATCGTTATATCAAACAGCCCTATTAACAGTGTTGATATCAACTGGGAAAACGAGAGAGATGAAAGAAAGCAATGTTCACATTGAGAGAGGTTTCTTTTTGCATGAATGGGGACCTGAAAGCTATATCTTTTTTTAAGTGACCCTGTGGTTTCACTAAATATATTACATCACTTTTTTCTACGCCTGTCTACACAGTGCAGACCTGTGTGCTGTGGGTTTTTTCTTTTTTTGATCGACTGGCTTTATACTGTTTCACAGAACACAGACGTAAAACCACTTCAACTCTCTTAGCATTCAGTGTCTTCACCTATCTGCTGGCTGCAGGTATATGGGTCAAGTGAAGCTTTGAATTCTTACTGTCTCTCTCTCTCTCTCTCTCTCTAGGGCTGAACGATATATCGCATTTGCGATAATATCGCGACATGATCAAGTGCAATTTTCTAACCGCAAAGGCTGCGATTATACTCTGGACATGTCCAAATTCATGGGCTGCATCCTCCTGAGGCCGCATTTGTAGACCGATTACGTCACAGCGACGCGCCGAAGGCTGTCCAAATTACTACCATATCCCAGAATTCATAGCGCGGCCCAGCCAAACTCCAGTTTCCAGCAATGGCGGCCGCTACTAAGTTTTAAAATTACTCATACTAATCTTTCTGGGTCACAAAATAAACTTTTAACATATTTTCAGGCGAGAAAGTAGCTGTGTAAACATCAAATATCTGCTCGGTTTATCAAGATATCCCATATTTGCAAAAGTGCTTCGACGTTTTCAGAGGCGTCTGCTACCCACCAGCTCGACAGCTAGCCGGGAGCTCGAGGGTTACTGATGCGGCCGAGAACGGCACAACTCCCGGCACATCATTTTCAGATCACCGCGGAGTTTCGCTGCTCGGGTTAAACGTAATATATAAGTCACTTAGACAACCTAAAAATGTTATTGTTGGGCTTTTTTCAGTGTTTTGTTTGTTCGTGAGTAAATCGGTTTGGCTGAGATTAAAGTTATTAGATTAGATAAAATAAAACTTTATTAATCCCCCGGGTGGGTTCCTCCTTGGTTTTCACACAGCTGACTAAACGTCAAACAGAAAACTTATTA